GCATTGGTGAATCCTGTACAACAGCAAACCAAGGTGAACCCAATCAGGCAAAGTTGTCAAGAAATACTAAAGACATGCAACACATACATTTACTCATTGAAGACATTTTCAAGAAATGTAGGCTTTGGTAGAATATCAATATAGAACTTTTTGTTGGAGTTATAGCAGCCTAGTTTATTATTATTAAAGTTTTCCCTTTTTTTTTTTTTTATCCTTATTGTAACTTTCATTGACTATATATATACGGGGGCTCTACACTTAGTTTGTATCCCATTCATTCACAAATATTGCTAGTTGGTATTAGAACCACAACCCTAACTCTAACCCTAACCCTTGCCTCAGCCAAAGACACAGCCAACTCCACCAATTGCCTCCGGCAGCAATCTTACCCAGCCAAAAAATCAGCAACCCAATTAAACCTCAACCACAGTCCACCGACTGACCAGCAACACCACCGACTGACCAGCAACCCCAGTAACCTCTACTCCACCGACTGACCAGCATACACATCAACCACATAGTCGTATACCTATACCAGCGACCAGAGCACTCCATTAAACCAAGCAATTCAATCACCGACCAAAGCACTCCACCGACGAGTACACTCCACCAATAGAGGTAAGAAGCCCACTGTCCAACGTAGAGACAAACCCCAAATAATCATATACCAGCCCATTAAACATATACCAAACCAGCCCACTGTCCAACCAAACCCCATACATCCCACAACCCAGCAAACCCAAAAATAGCAACCAGTGAACCCAAACCACAAGACCAGCCCAGCCCCCTAGCCTACTGCTGGGTCACTACCCAGCCCACTCATCAACCCACTGTCGGGTCGCATTTTTTCATTGTAACTTCGTCATTCGCACTCTTCGTCACAGTACTGCCAGGTTGCAATATTTAGGACTGTTTGAAGAGGGATTGAATTCTCTTTTCCGCTGATTTGCTCTTGATGCATTAGATCATTTATTTATATTTACTGGATTTCTGGGCACCGAGACCTGATTATTTGGGAGCTTTCTTGACCTTCTTTATCTGTCGCTACTGTTCGACTGAAGGTATATTATTCTCCCTTATTTTATCCCTCCATTTATCTTAGAGTTATTTTTCTGTCACGAGTGTCCTAGTATTGCTGTTGATATGACTACTACTGAAGGACTTGAGACCCCTACTGTTGACACCTCTACCATTGAGACCTCTATTGGTACTTTCACTTTTATGTTTGACCAGTAGACAATGCCTACTGGCACAGTTGCATTACCAGCACTACCGAGCATGATCTCTCAAAAAGTTACGGCATAGTTGTTGAATGGCGTAATTTCGCTGAGTGATCTAACTCATTCCAACTTTTCTTAGGTCGTGTAGGGAAGCTTGGTTGCCTAACGGGATCTCACCCAAAGCCAAATGATGCTAACCCTGGATATTTTGAGTAGTTCTCTGAGACCTACGCCATTCTTGGATGGTTATTTGGCTCGATAGAGCCATCTATTTGCAGGATTCACCAGTTTCATAGTTCTGTTCCGAAACTATGGAGCGCATTATCAGAGATGTATTTCCAGTCAGAATGGGGAGTTCGTGTTTATGAGCTTTCTTAAGAGCTCTCATATGCTCGACAGGGAGATATGACCGTTCAGGATTATTATGGTCATTTGACTCAGTGCTGACTTGAGTATGAGACTCTACGTCCTCTTGTTGCTATTCCGAGGATAGAGCCCGTAGGAGAAGCATTCTTGCATACTCGAGAGTAGGAGGACAGGATTCACAAGTTTCTTATGGGGTATGGGACTTCGTGATGAGTTTGAGGGACCTCGTTCCCAGATCCTGTCGTTGCTGAGCTTTTCGATCCTTTATGAGGTGTATGCGATGATTGAGCAGCATGAGCACCGTGTCCGTATTGCATCACTCCCAATTCTGACCTTAACTCCTCAGGTCGACCAGATGGCCCTTGTAACTACTCGTTCAGGACCCTGAGCTCGGGGTGGACAGTGCTCGAACTAAGGCCGTCAGGGTGTCCCAGATTAGCATAGATAGAGGGATTCTCCTCAGTGTGATTATTGTGGCTGATCAAGACATCTTAGGGCTACTTGTTGGAAGCTCCATCCAGAGCTTAAGTAGCCTTCTCATAGTCGTACTGCTGCCATTGTTGAGGCACCACCATCTACAACTGTTGCTTTTGCTACTACTGCTGTTGTTTTTCCTTGGCAGCGTGATATAAATGCTATCACTTTTTCGCTTGGATATACTTATGTCCGCTCTAACTTCTCAGAGTCCGACTACTGCTGTTGTCACCACTACAGGTATACCTCGTGTCTTTCATGCTTGTGCCAGTCTGTCTCTCCTTTGGATGCTGGACCTGGGTGCGATTGGTCACATGACAGGTGAGGCTCATCACATCACCACTTTTGACAAGTAGTTACATACACTGGTTCAGCAAGCAGATGGGACACATGTCCCTATTGTTAGTAGGGGTACATTCTGCCTCCCATATGGCTTTACATTACATTATGTTTTTCATATGCCAAAGTTGGCCATGAATCTATTATCTATACATCAGTTAGCTAGAGATTTTCATTGTGCAGTTGTGTTCTTATCTGATTCATGTTGTTTGTAAGACCTCAGTACCAGGAGGATTATTATCATGGGACATGAGAGAGATGGACTGTATTATCTAGGCGATCTACCTTCAATTTTACCAGTTCCTCCACCTACATCACTTGCACTTGCTTTGTTTTTATCTGTTCCTAGCTTGCATACTAGTATTTTACCTAGTAGTTGTCGTTATGATTTTTCATCACAAACTATTCAATTGTGGCATGACCGTTTTGGACATACAAATTTTAAATATTTATGTATGTTGTTTTTTGCTTTGGGCAATGCTTGTGTTGGTGGTAAACTTGATTGTATTATATGTTTTGGATCTTCTCTCAAACACTGGAATGCTGGGATACAAACCAACATCATCACCCATGATTCCAAACCTGAAACTTACTGCTGAAGGTGAGGAGTTGAGAGATCTGACTGTCTATCAGATGTTGGTAGGTAGACTTATCTACCTAACTAACACTAAGCCAGACATTTCATTCGTTATCAACCAAATTAGTAAGTTCATGCACAGACCATGTCAGTCTCATCTTGATACAGTTTATTATGTTCTTCGGTTCCTCAAGTCTTGTCCTGGACTTGGGTTGTTCTATGCATCAGGATCTCATACTAGTTCTCTAGCCTGTTATTCAGATTCAAATTATGGGGGAGCGTGTGACGATTGATCTACTATGGACTTTTGTACTTTTTGAGGGACTTATCTTATCTCTTGGAAGAGCAAGAAGCAGTCAATTGTCTCTCACTTGTCAACAGAGGCAGAGTATCGGGCACTGACACTGGTACTTGACACATGTGAGATTATCTGACTACGATCAATTCTTAGCGAGTTGGGATTTTCAGTGACTCTTTCATCTATGTTATATTGTAATAATCGATCTGTTATTCAGCTCACTTCTGACTCTGTATTATACAAGAGGACGAAGCATATAGAGATCAATTTTCACTTCCTTTGGGAGAAGCTTAGCAGTGGTATTGTCACTCCATCGTTTGTGGGGACCAGTGATCAAGTTGTGGATATTTTCACTAAACCTATCACTCTATCCATTCTTCGGGACTCCGTTGTCAAGTTTGACTTAGTTGACATTTTTATGCCTAACTTTAGGGGGAGTGTTGGAGTTATAGCAACCTAGTTTATTAGGGTTTATTAAAATTTTCTTTTTTTTTACTTTTTTATCCATATTGTAACTTTCATTGGCTATATATATACGGGGGTTCTACACTTACTTTGTATTTCATTCACTCACAAATATTTCTAGACTTCTTGTTTCAAACTGTAGAAGTTAGTAAATGGTGACAGCATCTAGCGTGCATGCGTGAGAGTGTTTTTCTGGGTTCTCAACCATCTTTACATAAAACCCCTCCCAACATTGGGCTAAGATACAAAACTAAAAAGACTTGGTTCTGGTTTTATACCCTCCAACCTTATTCAGAATTTAGCTCCGACTTTCCTCGCCCATCCCTTTCGAATGATTTAGTCTAATTTATTGGCACACTCTGCCAAAAACCAACCACTGCCCTCTGTTCAAGTACCTTACTATTCAACAGAGCTTTTTTCTCATCTTTTTTGGGACTCTATGCACCCTAAATTGTGAAGCATATTGATACTGGACTCTGCACCGAGTATGACAATCTCCGTGAGAATTAATTATCATTCAGACTATTGACTTCAAAGATTTTAACATAGTTTAATGTATGAAACTTGGATGTTAAAGCAAAACACCAAAACTGCTCGTGACATCTTGATGGTCCAACATATTCCATACAAAGTTAGATTTTATATATCTAGATGACTAAGATAGAAATGTCAAGGATTGAATATGAAACAGAAAAGCAGCATGCCACCTAGATCTATGGATTTCCCTAATAATTGCTCACATCTTACAATGCCCAGAAATTGGATAACTTATGATTATGAGTTCACAGTAAGGCAACCCCCGCACTACAAAATATTTCCCTCTCACTAATTGAGCATATACATAGGAGCCTCAAAAGCTCGGATCCATAACATGTCAATATGGGATTCTTTGTACATCTTAACATTAAAATCCCAGATTTGCGGCAAGAAAAAAGGAATGGAGAGTCTCGTGAAATGTTTTAGCATAAAGGATTAAATCAGTAAACAGACAGGAAAAAGATCGAGTGAACAAGCTGACAGTGCTGCATGACAAAAGTCAAGGCATGAAGGAACATAGACTGTAGCGGTGATTAGAAAAAAAAATTAGCGTGATGATTAAAATCTTGCTACACCCTAACCTTGACAAGAAGAAAGTTTTATCCCAGCCAAACATAATACAATGCTTTGCCATTTTAGTTGAGTTGTGTTCATATTCATAAATGCCTACTTATATAACATTAAGATTCCTACTGGAAGAGCCAGCCCGGATACCAAGAATCTGTCATCTTAGGTGGACAGCTAGCATCAAAATTTTAAATAACCCCATCTGTAGACACCCAATTGAACTGAGAAATGAGAAAACTCTACAGGGTATTCACATGGAGAGACAGGCATTATAGACGGACCAGGGAAGGCCAGAAGATTGTATGTTGTTTGTATGACACAATAAACATATGGCTAAGTGGTATGTGAACAAAAACAAGGCTGATCTCTCTCTCTCTCTCTCTCTAGGAATAAATATACGCACATGTACATGTATATAGCTTTATTAACAGTGATTGCATAATGAGAACTAACACACAAGTCCTTCAGAAACTGAATATTCCATTTCCAGTTTAAATTTCAGAAATCATTGGCATTTCTAATTGTAATTCCTTTTCCCAGCCAAAAGATTTTAAGTGTGACAAATAATGATTAGAGTATCTCAAGTCTCAACTACATGAATGCAATGCTTCCAATTAGGTTTTCTTACAGGTAAAAATAAGAAGAAATGAAAAAGCCTATCAATGGATTCAAAATAACCAGAATAAAATTTTAACATATAAATTGCGACATTAGAAAGCATTGGGAAACAAATTTGTGTCTTGTAGAGGAAATCCATGATTAGCGAAGTAAGACATACAACAGGTATACCCATGGTATTCATGAAGAAACCCACGCCAGCAGAAAGTACTATAGCTTCTGCAATGCCAAGGCCAGCAGCTAGTGCTAAAGAAGTTGACACTGAAGGAAGTTGTATCTTGCTTTGGGGTTCAGCCATGCGATCTTAACAAAAAGCCACACAACAAAGCCTTCACTAGATTAATGCAAATTATAATGCCACAAATATAATTCAAGTGATCAATAAATTCAAATTGTGCTAGCCCTAAACAAAATTACCTTCGACAATTTGATTAGACACATTGGTGCTCTTATTAACCAATGCTTGCTCTTCGGCAACGAAGGAGGTTGTGATGTTGAGCAAAGGAATATTAAACAATTTGGAAACGAGGTTAAACACTGAAATCGATACACCAACTGCTGCCAGTTCAACTGATCCTATAATACAATGAAAGACAATAAAACCACGCACATATGAAGATAATCATATTACACCTAATGTAGCACATCAAAATAATGGAAGAAAACTGGCACAAACTGCCGCTAAAGCAGTTCATCTTCATTGTCAACATCCATGCATAAAGTAAATATTACTCATGCTGCCCACAAACTAAGCAAGATAACCCAGTCTTCACATGGACCAAAAATTTTCAACTCATTATCGACAAGCCCAAATGTCAGTGTCATTATAATTATCTAGTGAAACAAGTGAAAAGCGGGCAAAAAAGTCAAATTCGAGCGATAATAACCCAGTACAACTTGAACGTCTGGTAAATTCAACTCAAACTAATAACATTTCAGAATTAAGTACGTAAGATGGAATGAAATACCCAAATGACCAACAAATGCAGTATCGACGAGGGAAGCAATAGGATCAGCGGCAAGAGCCAATGCAGCTGGCAATGCAATTGAAAGAATCTCCAATCCAAGTGCATCAAATCTTAGCCCCTTACTGCGAAAATCAATCAAACAACTAAAAATTTCCAATGCACATAATCAAAACCTAAATACAAGTAAAAAAAACTAGGAGACAGAGTGTACCGATAGTATTGAAGACGTAGAAAGAACAAATTGAAGAAAGATGAGTCGGAATGCGGGTTTGGGTCCGGACTCTTCAGCCGATTATCAGATATAGGAGGCTTGGATTGGGGGGTTGAGGTTTCAAGTGGAGTACCAAGGTTTTTTCGAGGTAATGATTTAGGGACTGTCCGAAGATGAGCTGAAAAATTAGGGATTCGTACGAGTATTTGAGGGTTATGAAACAGGTTGGTTGAATCGCAAAAACAACTATAGTTATGGCTATGCTGTGGTGTGTGGATACTGAGGAGGTGACTGTGAGAGAGGCCAGTCGCCATGGCTGAATTCTGGAGGAAAAGAGAAAGAAGAAGATCTCTGTACGAGAGAGAGAGAGAGAGAGAGAGGTATCTGAAGAAACCCGGGAACGAAATATCTGTTTTTATTCTATCAACGAATTAACGGCTCGAGTACCATCTTCAAAAAAGAAATCTCTAAATCTATAATATTCCAAGTAATTACAATAAAGAATTAATTTATCTATATATTAAAAGAATTCATTTAAGGGAGAAAGTGTTGAGGAAATGTTTCTCTCCTTATATTTTATTTTCTCTTAATTTTAAAATAAATGTAAGTAATTTCAACTTTTTAGTAATTGCTCCACCTATTTCTTATGATTTTTATTAATTACTTTACATTTAAATTTTGTATAAAGTATCAATATAAAACATTAATAAGTAGGCTTCTAATAATGGTAAAATAGGGTAGGAGAATGAGTGACAACGTGGTGAGAGTAAGAAAGATAGTGACAATGAAGAAATATTTATAAATTTCGTATATCGCATAGGACGAAACTAAGCTCGATTTTTATTTTTGAGATCTTTGTTCAATAGATAAAACTTTTTTACCCTCTTACGATTTCGTCTCGTAGCATTTTACAAATTCCATCCAAGTTAATGACAAATATGTTTAACCCATTTAATTTGTCAGTTGAAATAGGTCAAACATATGATCATCATTTCACATTCTATTCAAATTAATGGCAAGTGTGATCAATTCACTTAATCAAAATACATTTTTTACCCAAATTTAAACATCAACAGGACGAAAATACTTTTCTTTTTCAATATTATTATTTTTTTAATATTTGAAATTAGCATATGTTACCAAAAAATATCTTTTCAACACCACACCTTATATTATCCAATTATAAAGTGAGATGTGTTTAGTTCTATTATATTATTTTACTTGATGGTACCACAAAATATCTAAGGATGAGCTCGGCTTCCCAGGTCATCCAGCTCTGGAGCTCAACTCGTCAGGATCACATGTGGACCTCAACCTCATACCTCAACTCTTTGTATCCATACCTTACGAAAGTTTGTTCTGGATCCCTCCATTTTTCCCATCTTTTTGGCATTAATCACCCAACTGGCGCGAGTCTTGTTGCGCAATAAGGGGGAACTGTTACAGCTAAGGGGCGAGAAGCTCACCCTAGATCAAGCTAGCCCTAGGAAATATCTATAAATAAGAGAGCCTTCAAGAAAGGATATAGTCATTGTAGCCTTGAAAAATATTCTCTATAAATCATTCACAATAGATTAATATATTCAAGAGCAAGAAACTCCCTTGAGAGTGGATTAGCTGAGCTCTCGAGTTGGTGAACCACTATAAACACTCTGTGTAACCCCCCCCCCCCAAAAAAAAAAAAAAATACTTAGAAAATCCTATTCCCAAGAGCCTTGGAGCTCAGATTGAACCAAATTCGACCATTCAGTGCACTTCAAACCCACAACATCGCTCAATTGTGTTAAGAACATCATCAGTTGGCGTCGTCTGTGGAAATGACTGTTTCCCGATAAAAAATATATTGATTTCCTTCAATAATTGATGGTTTCTACACGCAACATGAACAAAGTACAAGCAAATCTTCCTCAATTGCAGAACCAACAAGAAGCTACCACTGGGAGGCAGCAAGGAAATCTTCACAATTTCTTGCCTACACCTGAAGTTGATCCCCTTGTAGTGAATCCCACACCTAACAACGAATTAGAAGCTCTTTGCCTGGCCAATCAACATCTCCTCCAACAAAATAAGGAGCTGTTGAATATCCTCCAGCATCCACAAAGAGCTCAGCCAACCCAAGACGATCCCCCTCAGAGGGACTGTCATCACGACAACCCCCCGAGGGACATCACCGAAGGAGATGAGCGTAGCCAAATGGTGGGCAATGGCCATTGTCGAATTCGTAGAAATAAGGATGACGAGGAAGTACAAAGTCAAAACAAGAAAGTTTATAATAATGAATTCCCTCTGTTTCAATAGGAAAGGAAAAAATAATATTAGGTGCAATGCTTCAAAGACATTCAATAAGAGCTCAACCATATGAAAGAGAGCTGTTAAAAGCAAAACTCCAGTGACTATGGAAACCTTAGTTCAACAAACTGAGTCCTCATTTACCACACAAGTGCTGCACTTTTATCTCCCACCTAAATTCAGAATGTCTTAGATGGAGACCTTCGATGGAACAAAAGATCCTATGGATCACCTCAACACCTACAAGAATCAAATGGAGCTACATGGATACCAGGACTTGGTACGATGTTGGGCCTTTGCCATCACTTTGAAAGGTTCATCCCTAACATGGTTCAATAGTCTGCCCCCCACATCTATCTCATCCTTCAGAGAGCTCTCTATCTCCTTTGTATCACACGTCATAGGAGCTCAGACTTATCAAAATCGAGCTATCATCTATTGAATGTGAAGCAGGGACCCAATGAAAGTCTGCGGAGTTATGTTCAAAAGTTTAACTCAGAATCCTTGAAAGTGGATGTCCCTGATGAGAAATTTGTCATCACTGCCTTTATTGTAGGATTGAGAATCCAGTCAAAGGACCTGATGGTCTCTATCTCAAAAAATCCATAGGTAAGTATGACAAAAATCCTCACCAAGGCAGAAAAGTACATCAATGGAGAAGAAGCACTCCTCTCCAAGGTAGGGACCACATTCACGCACAAAGAGAAGGAAAAAAAGAAAAACCAAAGTCCCAGAAAAAAAAAAGTAGAGATAGATCTCTACGAAAAAAACAGGGACCGCTCTCCAAAAAAGAGAAGAGATGTTAGAGACTGCCTTGGTCCACCACCGCAGGAATTGCAGCCAAGATTTGCACCTCGACAGTACACTCCCCTCATAGCCACAGTGTCTCAGGTCCTTTACGAGATTCAAAATGAGAAATTTCTTAGGTGGCCATTTCGAATGAAGATAGATCCTGCGAAAAGGGACTCTTAGAAATACTGCGAATACCACAGGGATCATGGCCATCTCACCGATGATTGTATCCAATTGAAGAAGGAGATCGAGTTCCTGATCCAATGAAAAAAATTACGCCGCTTTGTGGCGCAAGACAATCATAATCGAGCTCAACCACCTCTAGCACCCTAGCAACAAAACCTTGTGCAACATTAGCAACCTCTAAGAGAAATCAGAGTGATATTCGGAGGATTCGTTGGAGGTGAAAAGCCCAGCTCAGCCAGGAAGGCTTATTTGCGCAAAGTTAGAACTGACAAAATGCTGGAAGTACCCACTGTCTCCAAAACACCTCAGCTAAACAAAGACATCACTTTTACAAATTTGGACCTGGAGGGGTACCAACATCCCCATGATGACCCTTTGGTGGTAAGGGTCATCATCGCTAACAAGACCATTCATAGGGTCTTAATTGACAACGGGAGCTCTATGGACATCATATTCGCATCTGCCTTCGACAAGATGGATATAGACATAGATAAACTTGAGTCAGTAAGAGCTCACCTCTTGGGATTCTCAGGGGATAGAGTGCTACCACTGGACTCAATCCAGCTTGTGCTCACAATGGGAGACCCTCCTTGTCAATCCACCACCACTGTGAGGTTTCTAATGGTTGATGCACCTTTAGCATACAACATTCTGCTAGAAAGACCTTCCCTAAATGCCATGAGGGCTATTCCTTCTGCTTACTACTTCGTCATGAAGTTCCCTACAGAAAACAAAATTGGAGTGGTCCGAGGAGACCAGGGTGTAGCACAAGAGTGCTACATGACGTCCAGGAAAAAAAAGAGGTCGAGAATATCCAGCTAGATGAGCTCGACATGAGAGATGAGCTGCAAACTAGGCCAATGCCATTAGAAGAGCTGGAGCCTATTTAGCTTGATGAGAAGCCATAACACATGGTATATGTGGGATCTAAGCTAAACAGTAAATTTGGAGACCTCCTGATTCAATTCCCTAGAAAAAAATATGGAGGTGTTTGCCTAGAAACAAGAAGATATGAAAGGAATTAACCCCTCAGTCATCACACACAAGCTCAACGTGAATCCAACCTCCAAGTCAATCAAATAGAAACGAAGAAGTTTTGCCCCAGAGCGTAAAAAATCAATCAATGAGGAGGTCAACAAACTTCTTCACGCCAAAGCCATCAGAGATGTGAATTATCCGACTTGGATAACAAATGTGGTCCTAGTCAAAAAGGCCAATAGCAAGTGGTGCCTCTGCATCTACTTCATCGACTTAAACCGAGCTTGCCCTAAAGACAGCTTCTCTTTACCTCAGATCGACCTGATTGTAGATGCCACAGCTAGGCATGAACTCCTCAGCTTCAAGGACACTTTTTTTGGGTATAACCAAATCAGAATGGACCCTAGTGACCAAGAGAAGACCTCATTCGTAATTGAGCAGGAGATATACTGTTACCAGGTCATGCCCTTTGGACTGAAGAACGCCGGAGCTACTTACCAGCATTTGGTAAATCAAATATTCCAAAAATAATTCAGAACATCAATGAATGTGTACATCGATGACATGCTGGTGAAATCATTGAAAGTCAAGCTCCATATTGGGCACTTTGAAGAATCTTTCCAAGTCCTTAAAGAGTACAAGATGAAGCTCAACCCCGCCAAAATTTCCTTTGGGGTCTCTGCTAAGAAGTTCTTGGGTTTCATAGTCAACAGCAGAGGAATCGAGACAAACTCAGAAAAAGTCAAAGCAGTGATGGACATGCAACCACCGTCCAACACGAGGGAGGTCCAATGCTTAACAGGAAGGATAGCGGCCCTAAGCTGCTTTGTCTTCAGATCAAATGACAAGTGTCAGCTCTTCTTTCAACCTTAAAAAAGGCATTCCATTGCGAAGAAGCATTCAAAGCCCTCAAATATTATTTGTGCTCACCCCCAATTCTAGTAAGTCATTTGGAGGGGGAAATGCTCACCCTCTACCTTGCTGTTTTGGATTTCTCAACCAACGCAACACTAGTAAGAGAGTAAGACAGAGCTTAGAAACTAGTTGTAGTACAACTCTGAAGGGGTAG